CCAACCGAATCAAAGATTCGGTGTGAAGCTTGTCAAACTCATTCAACTTTTCATCCTGATCATTAGTTTTGTTAGGAGGGATGGAACAAAGAACTTCCTTGTGCAAGTTATTGTACTCATTGTAATGAGCTTCGAGCTTCTTCGCATAAACTTTGAGAATGGGTAGACTCACCTGAGTTGGATCGTCTTCGGCTCTTTCCAAGGCACTTGCAATCGCAGTGACCTTGGCCTTTACCTGACCACGTTGGTGGATGAGTGGCTTGATGTCCTCCATGGTCAACTTCACAGGTTTGATTGGGGTATAATCCACTGGCATCACGAAGGAAGGATGTTGTTACTTCGGAAGAGTAACTCTCGAGGAAAATGATACCAGTTAGGAACACTCCGTACTTTACTGCTTCACAGGAACATCACTTTTTGGATACTGGGAATCCAGCAAACTTCACAACTTGTTCTTTTTGCGTTCTAGCAATTCACTTTGTTCATGTTCATACGTGTTTGTTCATGTTCACGGTTAGGTCAATGGAAGCTATAACAATTCACTTTTTCTTCGGTACACTGTTCTTCTTCTTCCGTATTGACCACCGTGACACGGGAAAACAATTCACTCGTGGACTGTATGTTTCGCACTTTTATCCGGTTCGGAACGGACCACTATGTTGGCTCGACTGCCAACGTGATGTTTGACTTGAATCTTAAACGGCTGCTCGTTGGGCCTTGCCAACAGATGACGACAAATTCCAGCTGCACCAGCTGCGAGCCGACATCGCTTACTCGGAATCGGTAGTTCTTAAAAGAACACCGCGAAAGTAAAACTCTTTTTAGAGCAGCGACGGCAACAAGCAACGGTGGAACAGCAACTCTCCATTTCGGAAGTAGAGGGAACAGGAACTCCACTGAGCAGGACCACCGACAAAACTAGGACGGTAACAGGGACCCCTTGCATCGATATCGAATCGACGGGAAAACTGGAATTTTCTTTCTTGGATAGGATAACTTCAGCTTCTTCACTTTATCTCTATATTGCTTGGCAATTCGGAAACGACTGACAATGTGAATGCGTGATTCGCTTGGTTTTATACTTTTTTGAATCAAAGAGAAATTAAATGACGATGATGATTGGTCTAACAATCTACTACGCAAAACGGAATGAACGTGTACAATGTTATAAAAGCTAGTTTCTGATTGGATGTTTACACTTATTTCTGTTCTTATTGCTAGTGTTAGTAAGGGAAGCCGTTTGCCCGCGGCGTTCTCGGGGTTAGTAAAACAAAATGCAAGGAGGGGAAAAAGGATAGGGAAATATTTCTGCTGTGCTGATTTCTGCGGCCAACATCGGAAACGTGGAGTGGTTAGCGGTGGCGGTGTAATCGATACACGGCAGTGGTACCAATCTATTCGCTGTTGCGAACAGAATGAATGCCGACTCGAAGCCAACCGCCTTATATACGATTGCTGGATGGGGAAAACCTCGACGATTTACTCTTCCAGACGACTTTTATTGTCGTCCCTCCGAACTTAGAATCAGGGAAACAAAGCATTTCTTATTCAGATCGATGAGTGATTATTCAACTCCGAATAAATCAATTCATATAAGTCAAACTATAATATTTATTCCGAATCAGTGATTTACGAATTAATATTCCACATCACACCTCTACACTCGAGATAACATTTGATAACGGCACAAAAGCTTTTGTAAACAAGCTTTTTAAGGCCCTTTACACGCGAATCGAACAACAACTTCGGATATGGGCAACTCTCACCTTTTCGAAAGTGGTATTGGTTTGCGTGATCATACTTTGGTTAACGTGTAAAGGGCCTTAGAAAGTTTGTTTACAAATGCTTTTGTGCCGTTCAGTGTTGGAAAAGTTCGCGATATTTTACGAAGTTCACCAAGGGAAAAGTTCGCGAGTCATAGTGAGTTTACGCGAACTTTTCCATCACTGGTGCCGTTATCAAATGTTATCCCGAGTGTAGAGGTATGATGTGGAATATTAATTCGCAAATCACTGATGCCTGTTGGAACAATGGATTATCTGTCAAAGTCATAGGAAAAGTTATTCTAATCGAGCAGAAGACCTGTCAAATACATAAGATGTCGCCTCTTTACCCAATTCATTCTCTTTAGGCTGTGAACCATTTGCCGAGTTAAATTTAACTCGTAGTTAAAAGTGACATTTCGAAAGTTATTTCTTATGTTCGAAAATCCCCGTGCTGTCGATCGACCGGTTTTCGAGCCACGGTCGTCAAAATTTAACTTCTTGTCTGTCAGAAGTAACCACGCTCGGATAGCAGGGTTAATCGATAACTTTTAATCTGTCAAATTTTAACCAAAAGTTAAAATAATCCACCAAATGGTTCAGAGCCTTAGTTGTTATTAAAAGCAGAGCTGCCAGGTGGTTTTATAAAAAATCTGTATCCACTCTATTAAAAAATCTGTATTTTCTGTATTGACGATTTTTTTCTTAATTAATCATGTTTTGTTGTTTTACAAATACAGTGCATACAAAATAACCATAAAAAGTGGTTAACCACCTATTCGGGCTATCATACTAACCATACGGGATATAATTGCGCCATTTGCGCCATTTTATTCATAAGAGTGATATGAAGCCGTTTGAAAATGTATGGAGATTTTAGTTTCTATTTATTATCTTCCTGATAAGCAGTTTTAAATGCAAAAAAGTGCACGAGTTCATTACTATTTGATATTTTTAATATAGATGAATACAATTAATTACATCATTTGTGTGGTAGTTACACCGAAAAGTCGAGAGATGTCACCCCGCCAGTGCTGGTAAAATCATTTTTGCAGTATGGAGAATATCAGAAAATCCGCAATTTCTTACAAAATACATTTTCAATGCAAGTAAAATGTTTACGAGTACTTGTATTTGTACCATTTTAATGTGCTCGGGCACTTTTCTTGTATTTAACATACATGCTTATATTGGAAATATTCAATTAATACTGTAAATCCCCATAATCCATGTAAAGCACAACAATTAATTTTGGAGAGAAGGGGGTACGCTGATAAAATCGAGCAAGTTATTCTGTTTTTATAAATTTTGATTTTTTTTTCTCAAGCATTTTATAAAAATCTGTATAAGTCTGTATTGTAATTTAAAAATCTGTGATAAATCTGTATTCTGTATCGGGTCTGTATTAAGATTAAAAAATCTGTATAATACAGATAAATCTGTATAAATGGCAGCGCTGATTAAAAGAGAAAGTCGATGAAGAGAATCGATCAAAGCAGATATGACCTTTTGAAATGTTGATCGAGAAGTATCTCAAGTCTTCAGCGGCACCGTATAGGTAACCGTGATTGCCTCTCACCCCAAAGGACCTGGGTTTAATCTCAGTCGGCGCCGTCGGGATTTTCTGAGGCATAAAAACCCTGATCACGCCTTCCTTGGGAAGGGAAGTAAAGCAGTTGGTCCTCGTTCCATGAGTTAATGGGTCTATAGGTAGGGTCCAGGTGTAAGAACTGCCTCCCTGGCGTCGGTAGCATTGGTAAACAAATCAAATCGTGCGGGCCGCCATTACCGAGTGTGGAAAGCTGGATTAAACTATCGTCCAAATCTTACATCAAACAGGGTAAACGTTTCAGTTATGGAACTAGTGCTCCAGTTTTTAGCCCTAGAGCAAAGACATCATATCAAGAAGACTGGCAACTTTGCCAGAATCCAAGCGACAGATACAATAGTGCTGCGCTTGAGTGAAGGTGGAAGCAACGCATAGAAAAAATCAGCAAATACACAAACCTTTCTTCTGAGGATGTAATCTTTGTTATTAAATTCGTTCGAAGCATTAACCTTTGATCGGCAGATGACGCGATTGTACCTGTCCAATAGCGTTCGTATGAGAAAATGGAAGAGTTGCCAGATGACGCGATTGTACCTGTCTCATAGCGTTCGTATGAGAAAATGGAAGAGTTGCCAGTCTTCTTGATTTGTTGTCTCCGCCTAGGATCTAACTCACACTAGAAATAAATTTGCTTGTTTTTATTTGCGTAGATATATGGCCAAATCTACGCTCTAACCGTGCATCGAAATTAATTTGGTACAGAAATAAAATATATATATTTAGAATAGGGCCAATTGGGTTCTCTATGGGTATTGAGGTAAATGCATATTCGTAAACTGCATTAAAAATGGAATCAATTTCCAAAATTTCATCAATTTTGGTCCACTGGAACTATTTGAAATAAGTGTGATGTCATTAGAAATAATCATCATCCTAGCACTCCTCGATGGGAGTTTGTATTGGAGCAAGCAATCAATTTATTAGTTAAGTGTTAAACAGTGAAGTTATTATTTTGCGTTATATCTTGATTTAAAAATTAAAATGGAAGTCTATGGGAGCGAACAAAATATTGTTGTACTCAGAAAATGAAGCCCTTACAGATGATGTATAATTACCAATATATTTTCATAATTAAAGAACCCATTTAGAGTACCACTAACGTCTTAAACCACCATACACTGAGAAAAATAAAATTAACAATTTCATAAGGTTCGACTGATGAATGACACATTTGGATGTAATAAGTGTGGCTTATGAATGATTTTTTTTTAACATGAGAGCTTTAACCATTTCATTTTCCCAAGCGTTGAAAGATGACTGGTCAACACACAGGCTCCGTAATCTTAACGTCCATGGTTCGGTTCCAGTCTGCTCCATTTTATTATGTTTTTGCCAACACTAGTTTTCATAAGGCAAATCAATGAAATTCACATCGATTTCTTCTGGCTAAAATTCATAAGTGGTTCTTAATAATACGTTTTGTTTTTAATTATTCTTTTGGGTACAAATTACCATTCTTTAAGCATGCAATGAATTTCTTAGCAAAATGCTACCTCTCGATACAATGAAAAGTTTGTGTGAGATATTGTGGTGGTGCGTATTACTTGTAATTAGACTTATATTATATTATATTATTGAATAGGTATAACTCATATTTTATTTAATCAAAATTATATTGTAAACTACAAACCGCACAGTCTAAATCTAATTACTACTTCCACCAGCGCCGCCCCCTCCAGAAGAAGCACCCGAACCTGTTGTGGCTGCCGCAGCAGCCGCACCTTCCTTCAGCGCAGTCAACCGTCCGTGCTTCTTCATCTGATCCAGCACCCCGGCAAAGTTGGTCGTCTTCTTCTTGGCCGATCCCTTCGGTCCACTGTTTTGGGTGCGGACACGCATCTGAGGTAGTGGCACATCGTCCATGAAATCAAATTCCTTGTTCTTGGTTGGTCTGAAACCGGGAAATGTATGATTCTATTACTGATTTTCCTGAAAAGTATGCAGCAAGTGCTTCGTGACACGAACGGATTCTGCAATGTGGTAGCCGCAAGGTTTTTAAAATAATTTAGCAAGCTTGCTTCCCCAAAATGCATTGCGTCTAGAAAATCATCTTATGAAGGTTTTACACAAAAATATGTATTCTGGACAAACTTGCTTGTACGCTGCAGTCCATTGCAAGAGCTGTTATAACATTTGTTGTATGAAACACATGCTGAGGATGTACTAAATCCAACCTTACATTGGATGTGATGCCAACGAAATAAGACCGAGATGAACTTACGTTTCCTTCTCCACGGCTTCGGTCACCTTGGGTTCATCTTTTTGCACCGGCGAAGGAGGCCTCCGGCCGGGACACTTCCAATTCAGCTCCAGCGGGTAGGATCCGTTTTCCAGTGCGACATAGGCGCTTTCCAGATCTTCCGGCAAGGGAATCAGATCATCCAGTTCGCAGCACTGCATCGACCAGTTGTCGTCGTCGGTTCCCATTGTGGCTTAGCGGGAAAATACTAACCTGGGTTGTGGAACTAAATTTGTGTACAGATCAATCGGAGGAGTTTGTTTGCAAACAAATTGGAATTGTCAGAATAATAATTATTATCATTTGTTCCATTCTCTCAGAGCAGAAGAGCGGTGAGAGAAATCATGTGCACTCTCTCAGCCTTGTGTACGAACTTGTATGCGGATAAAAATTGAATGCAACATGGTGGTGCAAGTACGTCACCTAGCTGTCAAAACACTAAACATCTTTTTAGAGCATCATCACTGATGTTGCAAAAAAGGGTTTCGGGAACGACGCAAGCCTACAGTGAAAGGTGCCATCGATTATCTTGGGACCGAAGAGAGTACCAGAGCTGAGCCAAAAAGTTGAGCACGTTTCTTCGGGACCTTCTGGTCTTAGAGTTACCTCTATGCTAATCTGACGAATACAGAAAAAAAATGTTGTTAAATACACAGCAAAAAAAGTTGTTGAATATTACATCGAAACTGCTGCAACCAGGTCAATCCATCGGTTGAGTAATATCACATTGTACGATGTACATCGATTTTGCGAACAAAATTACATCCATTGATGTAATATTGCATCTGCTTTTTGCTATTACATCATTATTTCATACATCAGCTTGAATTACGTTGATCGATATTACATTTTTTTTTGCTGTGTATGATTGATTGGTCATTCCGCTTGTTGTGTAATATTACCATTGAGGCAACTCTAAGACCAGAAGGTCCCGAAGAAACGAGCTCAACTTTTTGGCTCAGCTCTGGTACTATCTTCGGTCCCAAGCTAATCGATGCACCCCTCGAAACATAGGAAAATCCACGAACTCCTCATTTTATCTGTCAAATTTTCATAACGAATCAAAACAAACACAGTGTAGTACTGGAATTTCGACTAAAATGGAGTACGTTAGTCGATTTGCTTGGGACCAATTTAAAATCGTTAGTTTCGAATTGATTGTTGATATTACGCTGTACGATTTATACAGAGTTTGTAAACAAATCACTTTAATGCGTGTAATATTGTATCCACTTTTAATAACTGGTGTTCAATACATCATGAATAACATTGATTGATACATATTGTTTGGTATGTAAACATTAAAGTGATGAACGGTGGCAGGCACTCATTAGTGATGCATTACCACGTTTAAAAACTTGTTTTTAGCAAAAGAAAAATCACACTAAACAATCAAAACAAATCCCTAAAAAAGACTGAGCTTCTGTGAATTTCTCTTAAGGATCCGTATTTCTGCAAAATTCAATCAATTCTATAGATCTAGGGATTATTTCGTAGAACCGACATCACTGAATCCTGATGAATGTGGGCGTCTTAGTGGAATACCTGTATAATGAGAGAGAGAAGGATTAGTATTTTCCATTTAATTCCACTACTTTATTTGCTTATCCTTGACAGATACGCGTATTTCGTCTACAATGTGCAGACTTCTTCAGTGTCTTGTACTAATACTCGACTGTATTAGTACAAGACACTGAAGAAGTCTGCACATTGTAGACGAAATACGCGTATCTGTCAAGGATAAGCAAATAAAGTAGTGGAATTAAATGGAAAATACTAATCCTTCTCTCTCTCGAAATCACTGGTTTCCATCTGTTTTGTGTTTATTCAACACAGCACCTAGTGAAAAAATTGCATGAACGAGGGATGCTCCGGTTGCAAAATAATGCAATGTGCATGATAAAGGGTGCTTGTGAACGTGCATAATACGCCTGACGATATTTTTTGAAGAATTTTCTTCTAGAGCTATGTTTGTTTGTCTATGATCACGCCTTCCACGTTTGCCCCTGTAGTGTGAATACAGACGAGGATTTGCACCAGGCTATGAAGGACTACTTCTCACTAGACAATCTCGGGGTGGCTAAATCGGAGAAGGCGCCTTTAGCCATTGAAGATGAACGAGAATTTTCATTGCTTCAGTCGCTGACCCGGCGTATAGATAATCGATACGAGTCCGGATTGTTGTAGCGGTACGATGATGTCCGCTTGCCCTACAGTCGATCAATGGCGCTGCGGCGATTGCAGTGCCTGAAGAAACGGATAGAGAAGGACCTGTAAATGTCAAAGATCCTGCATGCAAAGATATCAGAGTATGTGGAGAAGGAGTACATCAGCTCTTAGATTACTGACAAAGAAATCAACCGGAAGATTCCACGACACTGGTATTTGCCGATCTTTTCCGTAAACAACCCAAACAAACCTGGAAGTTTTCAGAAGTTCTGAAACTTCAGAATAGTTCGAACTTTTTGGTAGGTTCCGATAAATTAAAGACAGTTTCATTAACTTTTGTTGAAATACGAGAACCCGGGAATCTGAGGAAAGTCCAGAGAACTCCAATGAACTTAAGTAAACTGAAATATTTTGGAAACTTCACAAGCCCAAAGATCTTGAAAGAAATTTAACAGGTGATCCGTGACGCAAGGCGATCTAGCTGGATGGATTTCTTGGATTCAATCGACGAATCTCAATCGTCGAGTGAATTGTGGAATCGCGTCAACGCTCTGAGTGGCAAGCGGCGGTCTACTCCACCTACTATCCAAGCTCATGGCACCTGGATCTCAGAACCGAAGGACATCGCCGACGAATTAGGAAAATATTTTGCCGGCCTGTCTGCTGTCAGTGGCTACGACAGCGATTTCGTCCAGCGCGTCAAACCTTCCACAAGTAGCATTCGCGACTTGCGAATTCCACCCGATGTTCCTGCTCTTCAGATCAACGAAGCTCTTACATTCCGGGAGCTCCAATTTGCCCTCGGCAGCAGTAGTGGTAAATCTGCCGGCCCGGACGAGATTGGATACCCGGTATTAAAAAACCTCTCCCTCGATGGAAAAACGAGGCTACTCACCCTCTTCAACGATCTATGGCTCACTGACTCGTATCCGGAAAAGCTTGGTTGTGCCCATTCCGAAGAACAACACGGCGAGTGAAGAAGCCTCCTCCACATTTGCGCTCACTTGCTGCCCGGCAAAAGTGATGGAGATAATGGTAAATCGTCGTCTTAAGCAGTTCCTGGAGTCAAACGGGGACCGTCGGGAACACTCGCTAGGATCCGTTCCCCGAAGAAACTGCAGTGCCCCAGGGGTCCGTCATAGCGGTATCGCTATTCCTGGTGGCAATGAACGGGGTATTCAGCCGATTGCCCAAGAACGTTCACGTAATCGTTTATGCCGACGACATACTCATCGTCGTAACGGGACGAACGACTAAGCGGACCAGGAACATAGCTCAAGCAGCAGTCTCCGCCGTCAGCAGGTGGGCGCTTTCGGTTGGTCTCCAGCTCTCCGCTCCGAAGAGTGTACGGTGCCATATCTGTCACTCGGGCCATCTGATTCGAGGACCACCGATCACCATCCAAGATCACCCGATTCCGCTCAAGAAAACAGTGCGTGTTCTGGGGGTAGTACTGGATCGCACTCTAAGCTTCAACCAGCACTTCAGGATGGTGAAAGAAAACGGTCGTAGCCGCATCAACATAGTCAGGACAATCTCCCGCCCGCATCGCTCCAGCAACCGTGAGATCGACAGTCGACTTTTCTACGGCCTCGAAATAACCTTATTAGCCACCGAGAAGCTCAGCCACATCCTCGCTCCGGTATACAATACCTACGTACGCATCGTATCCGGCCTTCTCCCTTCCACGCCTGCAGACGCCGCATGTGTGGAAATCGGAATCCTCCCTTTCCGTTATCGATCTGATGCAGCCATTGCTACGAAAGCCGCTGCCCTCGCTGCTAAGACATCCGGGAATGAAAGGGTCTTTCTCCTCAACGAGGAGAACAGAGCCCTCCGCACTGCAGCCAACCGTGACCTCCCCCCGGTGGCCAGGGTCCACTGGCACGGAGAGAAGAGTTGGCGATCAAACGTCGTCAAAATAGATAAGCGGATTAAGAGTGGATTCCAAGCCGGAGATAACTCTGTAGCTTTGAGACGTTCTGTTGCAGAGCTTCTCGGGTCGGTTTATCCGGGGCACGTTCATCGTTTTACGGACGGATCGCGGTCGCGGGCTGAAGTTGGACTGGGAGTGGCAGGACCGAACACTGCAACGAGTCAAAGTCTACCGGAGGAGTGTTCCGTCTTTTCCGCTGAAGCCGCAGCTATTCTAGACGCAGCCATCACTCCGGCAGATCAACCGATCCTCGTATTAACTGACCCACACAGCGTCATCCAAGCGCTGGAAGCCGAAGCCCCGAGCCACCCCTGGATACAAGCCATTACATGGTACGCCCCACCTTCAACCATCTTTACGTGGATCCCCGGACACTGCGGTGTTCCCGGAAATGAGGCTGCGGACAGACTGGCGGGATCTGGCGCATCCCGTCCCCGCTACACCAGGAACGTACCCCTCCTCGACGTCAGGCGTTGGATTGTGAATATCATTATGGAAGCCTGGCACCACTTTCCTGAGTAAGATCAAGGGAACCGTACGCTCCTGGCTGGACAGCCAAAAGTACAAGGACCAGCGGATCATCTCAAGACTCCGGACCGGCCATGCGAGGATTTCCTGTAATTTCGGTGGGACACCTTGCCGCAAGGTCTGTTCAATCTGTAGCATCCCCGCTTCGGTGGAGCACGTGCTGTGTGTCTGCCCTGTTGAACTGAACAAGTTTTCGGATTCGAGGCCTATGTCCACATCCCAAGCGAGAAGAGGGGAAAGCTGGAGAGCAAGGCCAAGAAGATGATTTTCATTGGCTACTGTAGCCAAGCCAAGGCGTATCGGTTCCTCGATTTGGAGACTCGACGGGTGACTATTAGCAGAGACGCTCACTTTCTGGAACTGGGAGCGGAGATCCGTTCAGAAGGAGATTGCGGCTCAAAGGATGTTGAAGTCGCGATCGGCCGAACCGAAGAGGATTTGATTCCGGAAGTGGTCCCGGATGAGGATGAAGAAGATAACGAAGACGGCGATGAATCTTTCTATTCCGGATCAGATGAGCAAAGCGATTCAGCGGGAGATACGGACGGTGAAGCCACAGGAGGAGAAGCTAGTGGCCTGCGCCGATCGCAACGA